CTACTACTACTACTACTACTACTACTACTACTACTACTACTACTACTACTACTACTACTACTACTACTATTGCTACTACAAACAAACTACTACTACAACTACTACAACAACAACAAAACAATAACTATTACTACTACAACTAGAATCACAACATTAGCATCAACTCAGCCACCATAAACATCATCATCACTATATACCATCACCATCACCACCAACTTCATCAGCAAAAGATCAGCCATAACTACCAGGATAACAACATCAGTAGTAGCAACAACAGCAACAGGAACAACAACAACAACAATAACAAAAGCCATACAAGCAACATCAATAACACCCGCAACAACCAGGAAAGGAACAACAACGATAACAACTAAAATAACGACAACAACAACAACTAACAACAACAGCAACAACAACAACAACAACAACAACAACAACAACAACAGTAACAACAACAACTTATAAGACAACACAACAACAACGACAAAACAACATCCACAACGACAAAAATAGCATCTAAAACAACAACAACAACAACAACAACAACATCAAAGACAACAACAACAACAACAACAACAAAAGCAACATCTATGTCAACAGCAATAACAGCGACAAAACAAAATCTAAAACAACAACAACAACAACAAAAACAACTACAACGACAACAACAACAAAAACAACGACAACGACAACAACAACGAAAAGCAAACAACTAAAGCCTCCACCAATGCCAGAGGAAGCCTGTCACACCGTGTCACTAGCTGCAAGTCCCCACAACCCAGTGGTGACAAACTGACAACACTCTAGCAGCTCATTATCCCCCCTGTCTGTTACAGCACTGTCCCACAAAGCCCCCGTGGGCACGACCTTTTGTAGGGCTGGCTTCCCAAATACCCCGCGCCCTTTTCTTTGCATCACTCTCAAGCACAGAGGGCAAGGAATCATTTTTTCTGGGGTTTTTTGGGGTTTTTTTCCTTCCTAAAAAGATTTCAACGTTGGGTGGATTTCTGAAGTAATATTGTTATTTTCCGAGTAATTTTGTGTGGGTATGAATTTGGTATGCGGTTGTCGTTTTCAATGGTTGTCTTGTTTTTGTTGTTTGTTGTTCTAGTAGCTGTTGTTGTCATTGTTGTTATTGTTTATGTTGTTTTTGTTGTCTTTGTTCTTGTTTTTTTGTTGATTTGGTTGTTGTTGTTATTGTTGTTGTTGTTGTTGTTGGTGGTGGTGGTGGTGGTGGTGGTGGTTGTGGTTGTGGTGGTGGTGGTGGTTGTGGTGGTTTTGTTGTTGTTGTTGTTGTTGTTGGTGTAGTTGTTGTTTTCATTCTTGTTGTTATTACAGCTGTTGTTTTTGTTCTGTTATTACTGCTTTTGTTGTTTGTGGTGGTGGTGATGGTAGTAATGATAATGATAATTGTTATAGACAGCTATAGCCAGCAATTCAATTTCGCCTCTCTTTCTCTCTCTTTATCGCTTTCTCTATTTCTCGTTCTCCCTCGTTCTCTCACGTATCATCTCCCCCACCCTCTCTCTCTCTCTTTCTGCCTGGCCTTACTCTCTCTCTCTCTCTCTCTCTCTCTCTCTCTCTCTCTCTCTCTCGTTTTTCAATTCTAGCATCGCTCGGGGGCTCTCTTGGCCTATAGGTTAAGGTTTTCGCCCCTCATTCAAAGGTCACTGGTTCGAACCCGGGTAGCGACCGAAAAAATTTTTCTCTCTAAAATTGCCTCCTTTCACCTCATTTCCAGCTCTCTAGCAATGTTCTGTCGTCTGATTTCGTCTCTACTTTCTGTCCCCACCCCCTCACCTTTTATGCCCCCTCCTCTGGGCTCCTGACTCCTCCTGCAGCCTTGCCACTGCTTATCCTTCGCTTCTTCTTTCTGCTGTTTTTCAGCCACACCCCTGATCTTCTGGTAGGAAAGATCTACACCATGCCTTCTCGGACAAGAGCGAAAAATCTCGCACGCTCCGTGTGCAAGTTGCACATGTTAAAGGTCCCTTGGCGATCCAAAATCGACAAGAGTTGTCTTCGGCGGCGACCCGGGTAAAATTAAAAAATTTTCTACCAACTGAAAATGGTAGGTGTGTCCCGAAAGCTCATAATATGACCTTATGCAGTTGCGAGCGCCGTAAAACACTACCCCCCAATAACCCCCCCAAAAAAAAACAACAACAACAACAACAACAACAACAAACACACAAAAAAACCCAACCAAACAAACAAACAACCCCCCCCCACAAAAAAAACAACAAAAAAGAAATACAAAAAGATAAAAAATAACATCTCTCATTATCAGTCCCCCGCCTCTGGACTATTCTGATTGACCTATACTAACTCTCACGTGCACCGACACCCCGACTCGCGAGTGGAGGAGCCCGGAGCAACACAGCTAACAGTGCTATGGTGAAAGAACACCCTGAAAAACATCGTTTTTGTTTTTGATTTTCTGTTTTGCTGTTGTTGTTTTTTCTGGTTTCTTTTTTTAAATTGTCTTTTTTTTTTTTTTTTTACTTGTGATAGCTAAGAGGCCCATGGATATAAGTATGGATACCAAATACTTCATTCATCCAACCTCTCCTCC